TTCATAGCAACATCAATTTTAAGGTTTTGCGTCTTTCATATTTATATGTCCGTGCAACGGCCATACAATTTTTTCTTTAAAAGTGTCGAGCGTCGGGTTGGGCATTAAAATATTTTTACTATATAATTCCAAATGCTGTCTAATGTAATGGCATTGAAAGAAAGGTCAGGATGAAATATTATTTATTTTTCTGACAATAAATCTATTTGACTATATAAGATAATTAGGCTTATAAACTTGACTCATTCAACTAGTAACACATATGAAACCTCAATTCAATACGGTGATCCCACTCATTAAACGCTCTTGATCTTACAAACACATCGTCGAATTTATTGAATATATCTATATACACTACTTGAATGATTTTTAACTAATGAACCGCTTTCATTTTAACAAGTTGGAACTAAGTATGAAAAGTTTTTGCTCGGCCCTAGTATATTTAATCACAGAGAAAAACTTCCAAGTTTAGCATCAAGTGACAATGAGTCGACCTTCATTTTATATTTAGCCGCTTTGACGAAGAGAGAGAGAGAGAGAGAGAGAGAGGTTAATATTAAAAAGAAAATTGATTACAATTTACTGATATTAACAAATAGTTAATTCCTTCAAATTCTCAACATTTAGCTCAAATTTAAATTCAAATAGTTAAGCCACATTAATTAAAACTTTCCTATGATTGATCTTTGTAAAGACTCATAAAGTTTAATGGAAGCCCTCAAGTTCTATGAAGACCCACAAATCTTTATAGAGACCCGTCATGATTAATTTTTAGGATCTCACAAAGCTTTGTGGAGATAAATAGTAGTCCAGATAGATTTGAAAGTTTATAGGCATGCTATCTTATTTTTTAGGAAATTAATGGAGTCTTGATTAATATTATTCTATTTTCTTAAAGAGAAAACGCTAAAATATGAGTAAACTCTCTTTCTTCAGGTTTAATAATCACTTGGAATGACTTAACACAAAAATTCTTAGTTAAGTACTTTCCACATTCCAAAATAGTTAAGCTTATTAATTATATCTCTTTTTTTTCTTAATTAGATAATTAATTAATTTATGAAACATGGGAGAGATTTGAAGAATTATTAATAAAATGTTTTCATCATGCTCTCCTAGACTTGTTAATAATTCAAATATTTTATTATGTAACTATAGAAAATTTGAGATCAATCATTAAATAAAAATGTCAAGCAAAGACAATTTTTCATAATGCGTGCAAAGTGAAAAACACATAAAATACAACATAGTTGTCAACGAAAAAGGCTGAAGTAAGCAAAGTGAAAAACACAATACAACATAGTTGTCAACGAAAAAGGCTGAAGTATAACCATGTACAACATGATTTAACAAAAGATATATGCATAAAAACACAATCTAATAAATAACTAGTATTTGTAATAACAAAAGATTGAGGTCAAGCAATTATATTATTCAAAATATTAGCAAAGAAAATACAAATATAAAATGATTATACTCAATAAAAACATAAATAGAATCATAATGTATAGAAGGAAAATGCACCAGAAAAACATTCACTTGTAAAAATAGCAATCATTATTGTACAGTAGAAAAATGACTCTAGAAAATATAAAGTCCCTTTTAAGAAAATGATGACATTGATATTTATAATTGTATTTGTGGATGTGCTTACCCAAAAAGAAGAGAATGATCAATCAATCAGTTGTCGTATATTATATATTGAAGCTAGCCTCTTCTTCATTGCGAGACTGATTCATAAATTGAATATTGGGATACAAGAAGACAGGTGTAGCCCTACTATGAATGTTGGTTGACAGGAAGAAATGAACAAACTAAAATGAATGCCGACAGATGGGGAGAAAAAAAACCGAACCCTAACCTTGGAAGAATGTTGGATCGAGTGATGGGAAGAAAATGACGAGCCCTAAACTCTAGTCAAAGTTTTTGGTCTGTTACAATGTAGTAATTTCTCATAGGCATTTCAAGCTTAATATCTTTTTACCGAGTCAAGTCTTACGTCAAGCTCTCATTCAGTTTTTATTTAGTCTAAAAACAAAAAGTTTAATAAATTAAACTATCATTACTAAACTTAATATATATATATATATACCATCCAATTCACAAGTATTTGCATATCTAAAACTTGAATGCAAAAACATTTCTAAGAGCGTTTACATAGCACCCAATTCTTATATATTTATATATCCAACACTTTAATTTAATTTTTTACATTTAAACAAGTTAAATATTTAATAGCATATCAAATATGCCGCCATTTTATCTTTTAAGTATTATTTATTTATTATTTAATTAATTCAAGTAAAACAATGGAACAAAAATTTAGTATGCTCAGTTCATTTAAATAAAGCTCAAAATTTATTCATGTTCAATTCATTTATCGATGAACACTTATTTAATGCGCACGAGCTCTTGACACAACCAAAAAAAAAAAAAAATTTTAACAGCCCTAACCATGAGCACGTGGCAAACCGAAGGTCTTCGTAGAGAACACTTGATAGAGAAGCTATCATTGCGGCGTGAACAGAGCAGAGACTTTGTGAGCGTTCTAGAGTAGTTGCCTTACATATGTTGAGAGCCTGATTGGCCAGCTACAACTATTTTAAAAAAAAAATTGTTGTGAAACTACTAAGAAATAAAGTTCAAAAAACTGCATTTGTTATTACAAAAATTTATTTTTTTAAAAAAAATTAGTAACCCAACTTTCTAACAAGCACGACAGATAGCCATGTTTTTTAAGAAAATGAAAATTTCAGCCGCATCTTTTTAAAAACACAAGCAAAACTAAATTTTATCAAACATAAAAAATTACAATACAACACTGCACTGCTGCCCCAAAAACACCGGCTTGTAATAAGAGTACGAGAGAATGGTTTGAGGTACTCGGTATCCAATCAATTTTGGGTGAATTCAAAACAATAGAAGGAATAATAAATTTAGGATTTGAAATTCCTCAGCATGAAAATTTTAATTATTTTTCAAATAAAAAACCTAAACTTTAAAACTAATGCAATAAAATGTACAACACACTTTTAGCCTTTGAATCAAACACCCCATCTCACTCCCAACATTTTTTTTTTAATTTTTCGTCTCAACTTTTTCCCGTTTGCCAATTTCTAACATTAAAATATGAAATAAATTCTTCAGATATGCGCAGATCTAAAGCTGAGCTAAATCTATTTCATCAAAATTTACAAAGGCAATTTATTTTTAATTTATTTAATTTTATAAAAAAAAATCTCAACTATATAAATTTAATTTAAAAAATATAATACTCTAAATATAAATCATTAATATGTAAAATAAAAACATAAATCGGTTCGCTTGAGTACATTTAGGGTCCATGGACTAAAAAATTCATAATCAACTGGCTACCAAAAGGTAAAGCCAGCGGCACAGCGACAAGGCACATGGAAGTTGGGTAACTAGCAAGAACAAGCAATCCCATTAAGACCTTGGCAAAAAGTTATTGGCAACAATAAAGTAAAAGCAAGGGACAAGGCAAATAAAAGTCTCTGGCAAGCAAGAAAGAATCATACCGTCAAAAGCTTTGGCATACATCATCTTTTATCAAAATGGTTAAAAAGCAACCTAGCTGAACTAGTAGAAAACAGAGATTCTGACAGCTTGTAAATATTTTCATCTAAAGTGAATCAGAAAGGAACTGCTGATAATAGTAAAATGTGTAAATAAAGGCCTATTTCTGGTAGTGAGGAGCAGCAAAGTTAGCCCAGTAAACATAAACCTGCAGCTTATCAGACCTAACCAGCAGAAAATATAAATAAAACTAATCCTCTAAAAATGCTCAGATTTATAATTGATCAATTAAATCATTTGAGCGCACCTTAACTGGATCTAGATCCAGTATCCAAATGACATTAATCCTCATAATTTGAATGGCCATTTTGAAAAAGATGAGATACTGGAAAATAAGCAAGCGCACAGTATAAAAGGTTGACTGAAAAAACTTATAAAATCCTCACCAGTCAAGTCTCAATTAACTATTATTTCATGGAAGGTGAGAAGAGAGAATTGCAGCAGCCCTTCAATGCCGTCATCTCCACAGATGTTGCAGGTGCTTACGACCCACGGCTTGATCTGAGCTTGTCAATGAGCATCATAACATCACAGCTGACTGATAGCAACAAAGCTGACAGTAATTTGAAGATTGTGCCAGTTCCGAAGGAGGAAGCTGGAGAACAGATTCGGCTAGCTGCGTTGGAGAAGGCCTCTGCTGAGAGGATGAGAGAGCTGGCAAGACGAGAGCTAGAACAAGCGGAGAAAGAATTTAGACTAGCGAGAATGATATGGGAGCATGCAAGAGAAGAAGTAAAAAAGGTTGAGAGTATGAAGATGATTGCTACAAGAAGAATTGGCTCCACATGCATAGAAATCACCTGCCAGAACTGCCAGCAACATTTCCAGCCATAAATTAGCCTGTGTTCTTACATCATACTCTTGGATTAGCTCCAGTGGCTTTAACTCAAGACAGTATTCGGTTCAGTGATCAGCAAAATCAAGGTAATAAAAATTTTCTTGCCATGAAATTATCATCTCTATTATACACCTAAAAAAAAATCTTCTCCCACAATTTAATTCCAAGGTTCGATGCATTAATCAGTTCTGAGATGTGTCTAATTGACTTGTCTAATGTTGATATTTATCCTTGAGGTCCTGATGTAATCCCTCAAACAGATATCTGCTTCACTAGAGAATTGAGATATAAGGAGCGCAATATCTGCTTGCTCAGAGTCTGTAAATATCCTTGGAACTCCTGCATATTCAATATCAAAGAAATTAGTCGATTGCTCATGGATAATTAAAATTTGTATCGTTTTTTGGTGCCACTCTTAGATTGAGAAATCTAAGAACTCAAATAAGAAAAAAAAAGTCCTCGAAACTGTAAAGACAGATCAAGTAAACAATCAATCTTTTTCTAATTTGTTCCTTTTATATAACAAAAGGTTATTTTCTTTTCGGTGTTACAAGACGGTAAAACCAAACAACACTTAAAAGGAAAAAAGTGAGATAGCAGCTCTGATTGATAAATTGACTGTTCTCAGCTTAATTTGCCACCTATAAGGATGACGGCCTCGCTCTTCCATCCTTGAAAATTCTCTGCCTTAACTGTTTTAATGACTTCTAAATTTTTGAGAATTTTAAGGAAATCAGACATGGGGTAAATAGGATTACAGAGGAAAAGCTTAGCTGCATGACATAGAACAGCTAAACAGAACCCAACTCATATCTTGGAACTCTTTCTAAAGCTACCGAAATTAACCATGCCTATTTCAAATTGCTATAAAGCACCATATATAAGCGAAGGCCATCACTTGGCATAGCTTAAATCTACATAACTTCAACTTTGCATTTTTTTTCAGTCCAATAGAAACAAGTTTCAACCTGATCATGCAGATAACATACAAAAGCTCCAATTTAACTATATTTATCAATCAAAAGAAAACTATGGGGCTGATTCTCTGGCATAAAAGTATATTCAAGTCAACAGGGACAACTCCTTCCAACACAACAAATGACATAAAACACCTGTGGTTTTAGAATGGTAAAATGATGTTAAAAAAAAAATTAAACTTAGGTATTTCCTTGAATTCTTATTTCAGCAACAATGGGGTGAAATTACAGGTAAATAAAAAAGGAACTAACTCAGGTCAATTGAGGGAGTAGTTAACATATATGGACTTGTCTTTGTTTTAGTGGAGGGTGATTCTTTTAGATTTGAGCCCACGACTTTTTAGCTCACAATGAAGGGAAACTAAATATTACACACAGGCCTGCCCTCTGAAGGAACCTCTTTAACAGCTCTGAAAATCTTCAGATGATCTGCAAATCTAACATGTCAATGAAAGTAGATCTAGAAGCCATGGATCACAAATTAGTAAATCACGTGTGTGATTCAAATCTTATTTCTTGCTTGGTCCCTTTTCATCTGTGTGTGAAACAGAATACGTCTTTTGAGTAATATAACCTTATTAATGTTAAATAACAGAACACAAATCTTAAGAAAATAGTTCCAATTTGAGACACTTCTTCACGTCCACTAGACTGAGCTAAAAAAGCACGATGTACAAATCACAAACAATGTGCTTTACTTTGTTTTGAACTGTCAAGCATTAATGAACCAGTGATTCAGGTTGATGAGCAAAGCATTACATGAGGAACTTTTCTTATTAGTTGAGACTTTTTCCAACAACAGCTCAGTCAGTTTAAGGATATCATACCAACTTAAATAAGCTTCCTTCTAAATAAAAATTAAGCAATTAATAAAAATAAAAGTTGAATAATCTTCTTTTGGGTTTGACACTCCATCCACTCAACGAATCAAAAGTCATAATATCTGAATTTTCCATTATTCTCTAAGAACACTGGAGATTCCTTAAACTTCATCTCAATCTTAGTATAACTAGCTGCTAGAACTCTTTTCCCTTAAATTTTTATTATTGCATTATTTTAACAGTTTACTGACATCAAATGTTTTGTTTGCCATGTGTTCTCTCGAAAAAAAAATAAAGAAAAAGAAAACAAGTAGCCTTTTCAGTATTAATATCATGTATGTTATTCTTTTAAAAAGTATATATTTATTAAAATTGAGCTTCACTAAACCACGTGTTTCATGTTGTATTTATGCCTTCAGGCAGTAAACTTGGTTTCCTCAGCACAAAGTACATAGTCTTATGCTAAATTTGTAACCACCGCATGAAAGGGCAATTATGCTAGAGTAATTACAAGTTTCAGTATAAATCATTTAAGCCTATTTTAAACTATAACTATAGCTCATCTAAATTCGAGCTTCGCTGCATCATCAAAAGGATCAGAGCTGAAGTAGCATAAAAAATTCTACAATTTGTGAGGAAATGAATCTAAAATAAAAATCTTAATTATAATATAACAAAAACTGACCGTGAAAACATTCCCTTGCTCCTCCAGCCATAAGCACAATATCACCGCTCCTTAAAAACATAGCTATGGGCACGTCATCCCTAGACTTGCCTCCTAGGAGAAAAATAGCCTTACATCCAAGACTGCAGAAATAAAGGGACATATTGTCAGACGGTTTTTCACCACATAATTAACATTAAGAAGGGTTATTTTGAAAGAACCTAATGCTCACAATCGGTTTGCTCCAATCCTTTTCCATGTCATCAAGGTGGCCACCAAGCATATCACCTGAGGGATTGGAAAGTAAACAGAGGTTCCATGCAAATTCAAAATTACAACTAGTGCAACAAATAACAATTCTTTAAATTGCAAGAGACCAGTGGTTTAAACCTTAATCTCTTAAGACATATGAGCATAAGGTGACACTACTTGACATTAGAGGCTAAGCAAGAAAAATAAGGCCAACATACTTGGACCAAAATAATTAACAATTGCAGCTTCTGGCTGAAACTCCTCTCCTTTAGGCATAGCAGGCACTGCCATTTTCCTTGCAACAAGGCAGAGAGCATCAGGTATTTTTTTGTGAGGAAGGCACACATCATAATTGCGCTACAAGAATAAACATAGATTAGGCACATTGGAACCTGGAAAAAATTATTCAGTTCTTAAGCAAATCACAGACACAATAAAATCTTGAAAGCTGATACATATTAAAGCTCGGTCATCACAAGTTAAATTGCACAAAATCTATACTTTGCTTACTTCAAATACCATGCCAAACATCAGCCAAAATCATTCTAGCAAATGTTGAGCCATCTATTCAGCTTGGTTGAGCCACTTAGGATCAAGATAAAAAATCCAGTTATTTTAATTTATTCTTCTTATTGTTAACTGTTGAATCCAAATATGTCTTGTGGATCACACCCAAAGAGAAAAATAAAAATAGAGAGAGAAAGAGTGAAAGGAAAAAAGAGTGCACAGTAACACAAGCTTTGAGATAGTGAATCCAGTAGTCCCTGATTGAAGGAATGACCTCCTATTTATAGATCCTAGAGGTACCTAATAAAGTTATATCTTTGTCCCTGTTTTAATAGGAATATTACAAGTTATTATTATACATTTTCATATTTATAACCGACTCCTGGAACTGTTAATATACATAACTGACGTTGGTACCATTTCATAGTCATAAGTGCTTAAAGAGTGGCATTTAATAGCCTGGTGGCATTGTTAGTCGTTCGTCTGATAATCATTTGAGTGATACAACTTTGGAACTGTTAATATCCATAACTAACGTTGGTACCATTTCATAGTCATAAGTGCTTGGAGAGTGGCATTTAATAGCCTGGTGGCATTGTCAGTCGTTCGTCTGATAATCATTTGAGTGATACAACTGCTATTCAGATGCTATCCAGACTGACGGAAGCTGTCAAACGGAGGTAGTGCGAGGTACGAACGGCGAGAAATTTCCACCACATGTTTCTAAGCAAGGTACAGATACACAACTAACAAAAGAAAGAGAATACAACACTCTGAAGAGCATAAAAAGAGAACAAAAGTCTCTCAAAAATAATAAAAATGCCAAAAATCCTCTAAACCAAAAAAGAATAACACATAATAGTCTCTCAAGTAAAAACCCTATTTAAAAATAGAGAAATTAGAAGAAAAACATGAAGCAAAGAGAAATGGAAGGAAATCTGCAGAAAATAGGAAATAAATTTTAAGAAAGGAACTTTCCGGCTTGTTACTCCCACAATCATGGGATTCGCATGATGCAGAACCCGCGTACCGCTTAATTCCACAGAAATGGGATTGCAGGATTCCGGCATATGCTCCCATGCCATGAGAGCTCATAACTAAATCCACTAGCATGCAATTACGAGAATTAAACATAAGACTTTGCACAGTTGAATCCATATTAATTGATAAAAAAGTGTAATCCATAAGCAAATTCAGATTTACAGAAATGAAACTGATCGTGCAATTACGTACCTTAGACCAGTCAAATTGCAATCCAAGGGTGCTCCAACGCAGTTTCCGCAGAAGAACAGATGCAGGGACTGACTTGCAGCACTCAACACTATTTGTGATTATACAGTGTTCAGAAAATGAAAATCTTTGAGAGTTCAAATTTGTTTTATCATGAACCACTATAGGATCAACTGCTGAAGATGTCCGCTTTGCCTCAACCAAAACTCTATTGTTTTGAACAGCATCAAATAAATCAAAAATAGGACCATAGGCGTTTGTATGATTGGTTCTATTAGGAGGCTGAGGAAAGTTAATTAAGCTTTCCCTGATCCAGTGCACTTGTTCATCATCAGTCAGCGCACCAGGAATGAAATAAAACCCTGAACCATCGCCAAAAGTTTGAATTAAAGCAATTTTATCTAATGTAAAATCCACAGAAGTTGACTAAAAGACACGTCTATAAAGGATTACCCCAAACAAAAACAAGAAAAACTTATTGCAGGTGAGCACAGACATTTAAAGAATCTAAACAGCAGGAAAACACTTCCAATGCTTTATGGATTCTCCCAAACATAAAATTATGCATGTGTGCTTTTAGCAGAATGAAATACTGTAGACCAGAAGCTCTTTTTGATACCCCTTCTAGGGTTCTTAAAATGTGTTTAGAAAACAGGTTTTGTGGAGAGGTGGTTGTTGAATGGTAAGGGAAGAATAATATGTGAGTTCGATAGCGTATGGACCAGGATAAATATCGCTCGGCAATTGTCCTGGCTGAAAACAGCAAACATGGTGCCGAAACGACGAGGCATGAATGTCGAGGAGGTTCACCACCTATTACTGCACAAGCTACGGATACATCACTTGCAAAAGGAAAAGGGGACAGCATTACATTAGGGTAGAAAGCACATATACAATCTCTAAAACACACAAACCAAATCAAAATACCGAAAGAAAATAGAAACATAAAATATAATTAGTTCAGACAGCATTACATTGGGGTAGAAAGCACAGATACAATCTCTAAAACACACAAACCAAATCAAAATTCCGAAAGAAAATAGAAACATAAAATATAATTAGTTCCCTGCTATAAAGAAACCCAAATTCTAATAATATAACATAAAATTTGGGTCCACAATAGCCTAGCGGCAGGAGATTAACAAAAGAAACCCACCAACTCAATTATGGGACAGAAAACCCTGCGCCCAGTCATATCAATTTTGTGGAATCATGGAAACCAGGTTTCCAGTTCGAAGGCCTGCTAGGATTGCGGTATCCAGACAGAAAGGTGCTTCGCATCCGTGCCACTTTATATATAATTTCCACATCGCCTACGGCAAAAAAAATAAATGTGCATGAATAGCAAACGTGATATAGTAAAAAAAACAATGAGGCATGCATTTCTAGGGATCTTGGCGCCTAGACACCATAGATAAACTTGCAAACACTTGTATAGGGTCATCTGGCGCAACCCAATTTTTGTCCAACAAAAAATTTTGCAACACAGCTTGGTCTATTGCTTCATTGGCACTTCTCAAAAAATGACAGGCACACTTTGGTATCAGTTGAATACAAACTACATTATTGAATCAAGCTTTATCAATCAATCCTAATTAAAAATTCCTACTCTTAATCCCATTTATAATTTTCTGTAAGAAAATATTTAACATACTCATAGACCTTGCAGAGACTCACCCCAGAGCACTATCTATACTCCTAGGGTTTGGACAGTTAAAATTACCCCTACCAAAAAAGGCACCTAGCACTCCACTAAGACAAAATGATAACCCTTCATTTTAAATCTTCCATGATCTATACAATTTTATTGAACCATGAATTCATTATTGAACAAGAGCTAATGATTTTCCTAGTTACTCCTTTTTCCATTTTTCCTGACATAGAAAACCACTTCACTCTACCATTTTCTTCAGCATTATTGCATCTCATAAGGTCAAGGGAGGGGCTTCATTCCAACTTGCGCCATACAAAATTTGATTCATCCCAAATTCAAGAGAAAGGACAAAAAATGGCCCCTCAATTACTTGTGAAGGTCCATTTTAGTCTGGACTATGTAGAAGACCTGATTCAGTCCCCATAATTTTTAAACAGAGACCAAAATAGTCCATATAAACTAACAAAAATTATAGTTAATGAGGTAAAAAATGTGAGCATTCTAGAAAAAAATTTTTCTTTTTAATTTTTTCAGTAAATCAAATTTCCAACTTATCTTATCTCCCTGCGTAAAACAACTAAATTAGCAAACAACATTAGTATATCGAGATCGTACATGTTGCGGACCGAGCTAATTTTCTATAAAAAATAATTTTAGATGGCATTTTTTTACAATATTTTTTTTTTTATCATGAGACTAAAATAAAAAAATACTTATCAAACAAAATATTCATCACAAAAAAATCAGCTCGCTTAGCAAGCACGTGATCTTATTCTACTCATGTTATACATAAAGTTAGCTGCTTCACACAAGAAAATAAAATAAGTAAGATAACAGATATAGCAAAAATTTTGAGAAGAAAATATATTTCCTAAAATACCCTCATTTGTACCATTATTAATTAAGGCCCTGATTGGGATTACTTTTTGTTTTTTTATGATTATTTTTTTTAAGTCTATTTTGTTTTTTTTTAATTGTTTTCTATTTTACGTTTCTAGAAAGCGTGTTTGGTATTGTTTTGATTTATCTATTTTAAAAAATAAAAAATATAAAATATGTTTGATTGGGTATTTTCTTTTTTTTTAAAAGAAAAAACTATAATTTAAAAAAAAATATCATGAATGTGAGAGTTTCGTGCCACACTAGCTTGATTAAAGATGTCGAAAAAATAAATAGGAAAGTTTGGCTGTTAGATATGAAATTTGTAAATACATGAGAATTGTGTGGTATATATGTATCTGCGCCTAAAAGAAGAAATGATTCCTGTTGCAGGCCCAAAGGCAAGATCTCTGAGCCTGAAATAACACAAATCAGCAGAAACCTTACTCTCATCCCATGTTAATAGTAACTAGGGGTGTAAACGAGCCTCGTGTTCGACTCATTTATATTTCGAGCTCAAAAATTGTTCATGTTCGGCTCGTTTGCTGAACGAGTCGAACACGAGCTGTTCACGAACAAAGAATCTTTTTAACAACCCTAATCATGTAGCCATAAGATCATAAGG